GCTGAGAAGTACAAAAGTCTAGAAAAACAGGCAAAAGACACAAATTAAGCAACTCGCAAACACATGCGAACATGTTCAATGTCACTCGTAATGACAGCACAAACTGTGAATCCATTTCTTACCCACTGGGTTAGCAGAACTCAAAATCTTGACAACACACACTAATGGTGGGAGTGGGTCTGTTTAATATATTACCATGGGAACAAAACGTGGCCCAAACCTACAGAGGAACTTTGACAATACCCCACAAGACAGCCCAGCGTGTCCCCTCCAGCTGGCCAGCCTCCCCAGCACTCCCTGAAGCGTACCTCCCACCACACAGAGTGCTCACCCCACGACCTTACAACATCACAATGTCCCCGCAAAGGGGAACCATCAACATGTCCAGAGATGGAACAAGGGCTACATAAGCTTCAGCACAGTGGCGCATTCACACGGTGGGGTACGCACAGGAGGAAAGGAGGGAAGACAGCACTGAAACACAGGAGCGCCCTGACAGTGCTGATATAGCATGTGACCTGCCACCCTTGCATCAAAGGGGAACCAAGAAAGTGTACACATCTCACTGTGCTCACAAACAGCCTTGGAAGGACAAATCAGGAAATAATAAACTGGTTACCATGACAGATGGGAACAGCAGGTGGGAGAGTGAGACACTTTCCCAAGTTTACTTTTGGTAGATTTCTGACTTTAAAAAAATTTTAAAACATGTTAGTCATTCTATATATCCAAAATAAATGAGAAAGATGGGGAGAGGAAATAACTAAAGGTGAGAGCAAACAGAGGGGCCCAACAAAAATTTTTTATTGTCCAAACTAGTAACTTCACCACACCAATGGGGACAAGCAGACAGACAGGGAAATACAGCTGGACCACAGTCCTGGTCCCCGTGCTCCCGTAGAGGCTCATGTCCTGAGGGGTGTGGATGAGGCAGTCTGACTGAACAAGTGAGCATGGCTAGGCAGGGTACAGGGAGCCATGTGTCCTCGAGGAAGGGAGAGGCCAGGCAGAGCCCTGTGGGACCAGTGATGCTTCTCAGCTATGTAAACAGGGACGTGAGAGTACACATGCTCCTTCAGTTATGTCAGCATGTCCACAGGCACACGTTTGCTCTGTCCACTGGCAGCACTGAGAAGCGAAGACCCCAGCAGCCAGCTCTGAATTTCTAACCCAGTCCCCTTCAGAGAACCAGGGCCATCAGAAACAAGGGGTCTGAGACACACTCAAGAGAAGCCCAGGGAGACACCACAGCTAAATGCAGGTGCGAGGGCATTTGGTAAGAGCACATAGGGCGGACACTTCAGCTAGTAACGATGGCAGGATGAGCATCGCCCGCCAAGGACAACAAGGCCTATGGGAATTCTCTGTACTAACATCATAATTTTTCTATAAATCTAAAAGTATTATAAAAATGAAGTTCGTTTTCAAAAAGGTGGAGTGTGCTGGGTATAGAGGCTCACACCTGTAATCCCAGTTACTCAGGAGGCAGAGATAGGGAGAAAGGGTTCAAAGATGGCCCAGTCAGAAAGTGAGGCCCCATCTCCATCAGTAAGCCAGATGTGGTAGTTCAAGCCTAAAACCCCAGTTACACGAGAGACAGAAGTAGGAGGATCCAAGGCCATTAAGAGTCTCTCTGAAAATTAACTAAAGCAGAAAGGGCAGGAGAGGGCACTCAAGTGGTACAGCGCCTGCACTAGGCACGGTGTTCAAACACCAGTAGCACCAAAAAAAAAAAAAAAAGCCCCATATCCCATATTCCCACACCACGCAAGCAGAAGGTAAGGAGACCCTCTCCTCGAGCAAAGCACTCGAGCGCACTTTCCTGTGGGCACACCCAGCAGCTCCTGGCCACTCGGGCTGCTTGGACTGAAAACGCCTCAAGCTGCAGCCAACAGGAATGTGGCCGCTCTCCTGAAGGCATCACCCAAGGGGGCACAGCACCCCATACAGGAGGCGCTGTCACTTACAGGGGGACTGTGCTACAGGATTATTTGGAAGGATCTTAAGGAAACCGTGTATTTCCAAGCCGTGGGAAACGCAGATTTGTTTCATTTTCAGACGAAGTCCATGGCAGTGCTCCAAACACAAAGCACTCAAGACACGGTGTCCAACACCCTGAGCAGCACCCTGCACGTGGCCAGCACTCAAAGTTTTGGTAAGCCAGCTTGTTTTGAGGCAACAGCCGTCAATACACAAATAACAAGTGAGTTAGAACTTTGCTGCTTATAGAGATTGGGAAGGGGGTTATCTTCTCATGTGATCCCAAAACACCACTTTCACCCCCACAGGCCTGGGGAGGCGCAGGCACTCTGATGTGGAAGGCCCTGATCTAATTGGTCACAGCTCAGTCGGCAGTCTGAGTGGATCACACTCCACTCTCAAGATCCAGGGAGTGTGTGCCAACATTCAGTCAGTCAGCAAACATTCCAAGGTCTGCTCCTACATGCTCACAGCGGACAGCCCTTTGGAAATGTGATGAGATACACTGTTCCCAGGACCCCAAAACGGAAGTGGCCTGGCTACAGGGAAACTCTTGGGCTCTTCAGAATGCCACGTTCAATGGCAGATGTAAACAACAGGTGTGTTTCCTGGTTTGTTTTCAGCAATGATGAATATGCAAGCCTTGGGGAACTGAGGGAGAACTGAACACGATTTTCAGCCCACAGTTCGCTGGGGCCCAGATGGTCTCCCACTGTGAGGACCTACCATTTACAGACGTGGCATTGACATAGACCTCACAGGATGCTGGTCTGAAACATGGTGCCAAGTGAAGAATCTCCACAAGCCTGGCACTTTTGCTCTCCATGCATTAGAAATAAGGAAGCAGGGTGTGTGACAGATGTAGCAAGGCCATCATGGGAACAGAGGTGACAGTGCCAAGTCTGTTAGGAATCAACCATACAGTGAGATGACACAAGCAGAGATCAGCTTCTAGAAAAGACTGGCACTTTACTCTGCCCACTTGTGACAAAGTGACACACTCTAGGAGTGTCCCCCAGGCCAAGGGGTGTATGGTGATACAGAAAAACTTATTTCAATGATCACATATGTTACCCTGGTATTGGCTGTGAGGTGCGGGGTCCCCTGTCTTCAGCGATGTCAAGCGGAACACTTCCATGAAACAGCACAGGGGGTCTAGGATGTACACTCCAGTAATCCAGGAGAAAGGGCAGAGGCCAGCCTGGCTCAAGCTGACACATCTGAGTCTGGTGAAGAGGACCAGGGGTCTTCAGATGCTTCTCCCCTCCTCTGCTTAAGTTTCACATTTCCCACAAGAAAAAGGTATTTTTTAATGTACATGCCAAAATGTCTGCAGATGAAACAGACACATAGAACTTGCCTCAAGTAACTGAAAACAGGCTGAGGGGAGGGTGGAGGTGAGCAGGGAGCTCATGGAGCTCACCATACTGTCCACTCTGCTTTTACTCTTGCTTGCAATTCCTAACACACAGGCTTCAGAAAAGCCGCATCCTGCACGCAGAGATACACTTGACAGGCCTCCTCCCAGTGAAGATCTAAGGGACCCAGGCATGCTGTGCTGCAGTGTGACAGCCCCTCCTCTGCCATGCCAGTCTGCAGAGGCCACCCCACGGTCACACAGACCAACTCCAGGGAAGTAGCCAGAGTCCAGGCCAGCTCCTAGCTAACGCTGTCTTCTCCAACAGCACATCTGTTCCAGCCAGGAATGTGTGCTTCAAGCTTCACCCATTAAGTGCTTGGCCCGTCTTCCATCAGGCACATAAGTAACCCATGTGGAAAGTCACTTTGCACCAGAAGCTTCCTTCTCCAACTGCACTGAAGAAAGTGCACTTGGCGAGAGCAAAACAGGCTCCAACACTTTGTATGATGAATGCCCTCCTCCTCAAAAAGAACGGATGAGCCACAGCTCGTTCCAAAAGCACCATGGGGCAGCAGCTCCAGCTCAGCATTTCAGCAAATAACAACCAAGTGTCTCTTGAGACACCTCAGTTTCAGGTTCACATCAAATTAAATTACCTAACATTCCCCAGAGAAGTCTAGAGCGACAGAGAGCCCCCACAGAGGTCCAGGTACACTGCTCCCGCTCCAGGGCCTCTGCACCCGCACCCATCAGGTGTCACACAGCACACCCCACAGTCCTCCCACAACTCACCTCCCACTTCCCAGACTAAAGCTCCATCCCTCAGTGAACCACACACACCTCAACATGCCCAGCCCCCCCACCCCAGCGTGTCTGCACATGGTGCACTGACACGAAGTCTGTGGTGAACAGCGGACAGTCAGTGGAAGACAGCGGCCTTAATTGACTCTAAGAATGTCTGTCTCCTGCCTCTGGACTTCCTCCCCCACTCAGGACTCTGAATCTAGGCTCACCCACCACCGTCCTCAGGACCTTCCTTCTTCAGAGAAAACCACCAAGCCACAAGGCAGGCCCATGGCCACAAAGAGCCTCGTCAGCCTTCCTTTACATTACCTGCTAAAATGATACTGACCTTTTTAAACAGGAACCTGAATCTTAGGAACAGCACGATTTGGGCTCACCAAAGACTCCACATCAATGTATGTAAACAATGTGTATGCACTCTATAAATTCTTACTCTTAATTATGATGTAGACACATACAACATTCTCTAAAAGAAGCCAGTAATTAGTTGTATAGATTCATGCTTTCTACACTTAATATCATATGAAAAATACACTAAAATTGCCTCATTTTTCAAAATAATAATTCATAATTTGATAATTATGAATTAATGCTATTATGATACATGAAGCTTACTGAACTATGCATTGCTATCAGCCAGCAAAGTGCACTATCAACACAAAGATACAAAACGATTGGAACAGGCTTGCTTCCTTGAACCACCCTCCATTGTCCTCCACACTGCTAAACATGCACACACACCACACACGCACACATGCATGCACAGCTGTTAGCACAAAGGGAGTGTGATGCCCACTGTCCTCCTCAGCACACACAGCCCACCCAGATGAACCCTGACACAGACGGGGATTCTCACGTTGCTGTCCACTCCTGAAGGGCTACTGAACACGTACTCCAGCTGGAAGATGATTGCAAACGCAGGGTGACTAACCATCTCAGGGAGTCGCAGGCGGCTTCTCAAAACTAGAGCCTGGTTTCCAGAGCTGGGTCAGAAACACAAACCAGGAGCAAGTTAGAATGTCAGCTCCTGTCCTGCCCTATGTCACCTCTACTACTGTGAGCAACAGCAAAGGAAAGCAGCCCAGGCCCCAGGACCTGGTGACACTGCCAACACAGCAGGTTCACTCAGGCAATAATGCCAAGCATCCCCAAGAGGCTACACCCCAGACCAAAGCTTTCTGTTTCTAAGAGTCACAGTCCGGACCTCCCAAACTGCCAGAGCTAGCCTGCAGCAGGGTAAACCAAAACAGCCCAGTCACCAAGAGGTGCCAGAGAGGAGGAATGCCCCACGGTAACACTGGGGACAGGGCTCACCGAGCTCGGGCTCCCTGGCATTTGGGAAACTAACCCAGGGCACACCCAGACTCAGCGTTCAAGGCTCTCCTTGAACGCTGACACAGCACAAAAACAGGTTTCATCCAACTGAGGTTTGTTCCTAATGGGTGTAACTAAGTGAGGGGAAACAAAGGCAACAAGGATGAGCCCCCATGTGGTGAGCTCACACTGAGTGTGCGATACCCTAGTTTCACTGACCCCTTGGTATGTCCCCACCTACCTCTTACAGCCACCAGCCTTGGGAGCCAGGAAGAATACCTGCTTTTTGAGGAGGAGGCGACTTTCTTGCTGATGCTGGCTGAACGTGTCAAGGCCACATCCATCTCAGGTACCAGCACAACCACCTGTGGCCTCTGCACAAAGCCCAAGCCGTTATGCACACCCACGTGCAGCCGCCGCTCCAAGACCTCCAGGGTACCGCCACCCAGTGGGCCCCCCTGCAAGAGATGCAGGATACACAGGGTGAGTCCCACACAGCCCAGGGGTGGTGAGAGAAGCCAGGGTGTGCCGGCAAGCAGCAGGAGGAAGCAAAAGCAGAAGCTACATACCTTTACAGATGAGGTGACCCTTAGCACAAATTAGTCAAAAGAAAGGACAGACTGTAACCCAATGACGACAGCTGGCTGCGAAGCACTTCCCAAATAAGTCTGGCATTTCTGACTCGGGGTGACCTTCTCAGCATGCCCGAGGTACCTGACGCACCAAGCCGGCTCCAGCTTCCTGAGACTTAGCTGACAGTTCTCAAGATGTAGCAACTGCAGAATCAGACCTGTGCTCCTTCAATGAGATTTGGCCCCCAAGATCTGGGTGCCCCCTCCCCAAGAGAAGAACAGAGTGATGGAGTGGTGTGCAGAGGTGGAGCATGCCAAGTTTCAAGTCTATCTACCCAGAGACCTGAGTCTCTGGAGGAAGGGGGCAAGAAGAGGGTGAACACTCAAGCAGTAAGTCACAAACCAATAAAAATGGAATCTGCCCCAAAGTGATCACTGGATATTAAAGTGTATCATCTTAACAGAAACTGAACAGGCACTCTAGCAAATGAACAGGGATATCCCTCCCAGCTATTAGTGTTTATTAAATTATGTGATCTTTGCAAAATGATCTCTGAATTTTCCAATGTTCTTCACTGCCCATTAATCAAGCTGAATGAACCTAAATTCAGCCTATTACTCTTTGGATAATGAAAATAAAACTGGAGATCTTCATGTCTGCCAAGTGAATAGGAAAAAAGATGCAAAGAAAGTGAAAATGCACAACAAAGCTACATCACAGGAATTTGTAAAATTCAGCAATGATACTCTTAAAACATCTCTGCCCTCACTCAACCAATCTGCTCTGAAAAGTAAGGAAAGAGCAGGAGCCACGCCAAGAGAACAGGTGCTCTTCGGTCGACTCTCTGCTCTGTGTTTGTACATCATGTAAGACCATATTATGTGGAAGTATGTTTTCAAGAAAGAAAGCAAAAAAGGCCCACCTCATTCACACACATATGTAATTAATAACCTGCCAACCTCACAGACTGCTAGAGTGGGGACCAACTGATTCAATCATTCAATCTCACGACAACTATCTGTTACAGCCCAGTGATGGCTAGATACCACCAATGCACATCACGAAGTGTGGCGCACTGAACAGCCAGCCCAGTCCTCCTGCTGCAGACACTCCCTCGAGGGGCTGAGGGCCCCCTGAGCAGAGGAAAGCCAGGTGCTCCCAGAGAAGCACGTGACGGCTGGAAGTCAGGCAGGAGGGAAGAGGACATGCCCTGAGAACAGACAGGGGTCCCACCAGGGTCATCAGGGTGCCTAGCACAAGTGCCTAGAGTAGCTCAGAGAGAGGTCAGGAAACCAGCAAAGACCAAGTCCCACACATCTCAAACCCAGGGTGAGACATGCAAGTGTCCTGCAAGGCAATGAGAAGCCAGACTTCACAGAGATCCCAAACAAAGAGCACAACCAGCTGGATTTATGTTCCTAAAAGACCATTTTGACCAGAGTAAACAGGGTATCCTCTGGGATCCACAAGAGGACATGGCAGACCAACACATCACAGAGAATCGCTTTTCCTCAAAGTCCATGAGCAAAAGCACTGAGAAAACCACACAACGTAGTAATACCCTGGCCTTCCAGACCTGGGGGTTGAGACCAAACAGACACATGGCCTCTGGAGCTCCTCGCCCAATGCCACCTCCACCCCAGGAGCCACGCCATATGGGCACAATTCAAATCCACCTAAACCCACATGGTGGGTGGCCATTCACATGGCCTAGGATGGCTGGTCTGGGCAAGGCGGCCATGGGCCTGTTCTCAGAGGCAGGAATGAGAACAAGAAGAAATGCGTGGACATTTTTAAACCTCTGTGTACATTCAATTTGCTACTAAATGTGGCCACGTCCACAGTCCCAGAGGTAGGGGACTCACATTATAGGCAAAGGCTGTGGCTCAGAGATGCATCACTGGCCGCCTTTGCTGACCTGCCAGTAACCCACACAGAAATGAGGGGTTTTTTTTAATTTCCTGCGGGGGATCACACTAAGTAAGAGGCAAGATTCACACAAGAGTTTTCATAGCAGGATCGTACGGTTCCAAGTGAAGTCAGTCCATCAACCGAAGAATGGACAAGCACAGCGGAACATAACATGGTGAAGAAGTGGAAAGAGCTCCGCCAGCTGCAGACAAACAGCACTGCATGACGCTGTGCTGGAGAAATCCACACAGAAGAAAAGAAGGCAGGCCATACTGTCTAGTGGTGCATCCGAAGGAGGCAGAAATGAACAGAAAACAAAGGGCAAATGGGCCTGGGCACATATAGCTGGAAGGGCCATTTGTCATGGCCCACCAACACACCGATGGGTCCACAGACGCGCCCTGAGCTCTTCTGCAAGTCTGTCTGGAGGGGAGGAGGCTATGACCTCAGCCTCACCTCTCAGTGCTACGTAGTTTCTCTCGGTTTCAAAAGTCAAAAGCAAAGCCCCTTAGGGCCAGATGTGGTAGTGCACACCTATAATTCCAGCTACTCAGGCCATAGAGAGCAAGAGGATCTTGGTTCAAGGTCAACACATGCAGAGGGTTACCAAGACTCCATCTCAACAAATAAGCCTGGTATGGTGGCACACACCTACATGGAAGGTATTGGTAGGAGGATTGTGGTCCAAGGCAAGCCATAGGCAAAAAGCGAAAGATCCTACCTGAAAAATAACTAAAGCAAAAAAGAACTGAGGGAGTGGCTCAACAGATAGAAGCCAAATTCAATCCCTAGTACCACAAAAAAATAAAGTGAAGACTCTGGTCCCAGAGTAAGGACAAGTGATTTCCTCAGAGACAAGCTGGTGGCCTGCTCTTTACAGCTGAGAAAACAGACAGCCAGCCCTTCTCCCCATGGCTTCCATGTGGCCATCAGCCAAGGACCAGAGGCCAGTTTAGGCCCAGGCAGGATAGAGCAGTGCACAGCACACCTATGCTCCCAGGCCACCACTGCAGGCAACTGACGGCCAGGACCAATTAAGTCCTGCCCTGACCACATTTGGGCCCAATGCGTCAGACAAAGGGAAAAACAAGAACCATTAAAGTGACACAACTGAGAAATGATGTCCCTGCATTAGGTGTGGTACAATTTGCAAGCTGGTCAGTCATCAACGGTTCAGGACCAAGGAAGACACCTCGGCATGTCCTGTGTACTAGGCAAGCCCTGAGCATTGCATGTGAACAGACATGTGGACCAGGGCACAGCAAACATCCCTGCCTAATGGGCAGACATCATGCTAAAGCACTCAAACAAACCCACAGATGCTGGTGGTAGAGCATCTGCCCAGCAAGTGCAAGGCCCTGAGTTCAACCCCTACTACCGCCAAAAAAAGAGCAACAGAGAGAAACAGGCTCTCAGGTGACCCATTTATAGGAAGCGTCCACACAGGCAGGCAAAGCATGGAGGGAGCACCCTTTACAGAAACCACCTTGAGGGGGGGCAACAGGACTGTGGCCTCCAGTCATCTCCTGAATGAGCCATCCAGCCTCAAAATGTGCTTTGTAGATACAAATCTTTGGATGGCTTTCCCTATGCTCACTTGGTGACACGATGTACTTTTAAAAAGGACTGCTTCATGACCCATCAAACATCAGCACCTCCAGTCACACACACACCATGGAGGATCTACAGGGGGCTTGGCTCTGAGGGAAAACAGTACCCTGTCCACACCCAGCAGCATCATCCCCCACCCCCAACCCTGCCGGGTGCCTGCTCTGTTCAGACGGGCTACCACAGTGCTTGGCAGGCAACCCAGGTGACTGTACCTCCCGGAAGTGGTCACCGGAGAGCAGCTCCAACAGCTCCTCCTCAAACTTCTCCAGGGAGGGGAACAGGGTGAAGAAGATGGAGTCCAAGTGCCCTGTGGTGGGCTTCTGCAAGCGAGGCTTCCGCAGGGCATCACCTGCAACACAAGAGGGCTTGTGTATGTTATCTCAGGCAAGCAAACAGAGGACCGGCCTCCACCCCAGGTCTCAGGCCATGAGCGATGGGACCTGCAGGCAAGAAGGTGCCCAGACACCCACTCACACAATATACCAGAACCACCTCAGGTCAGGCCAAACTTAATAAATGCACATCACATCTGCAGCCCAAACTCTGCCCAAACCTCCTTCAGGAAATGTTCTAATCAGGCACTGGAAGAACGCAAACACAGAAGGCAAAGCAGCACGAGCACCTTCAACTTGGTCTCCCTTCACTACCTCCCTACTCTCCAGCAATAATGTGGCCAGCTGCGCTGGATCTCACAGCACCACGTGTATCTTGGACCATTTGGAAATACAGAGGAACACTATGTGCATGTTACAGCACCAAGCAGAATTACAGACAGGGCTGGAACCACAAGAAAAAATTCACCCCGATCTGGAAACATCCATGGGGCTTCCTGAGGACAGGGAAGAGCTGGGTCCTGGGATGGAGCACAGCGTCAGGGTGCAAAGCAGGCACAGGATATACCTCAGCTGAGGGAAGGATCCAGGTCTGTTAGAAACCCCTTCCCCACAGGCTGCAGGAGGACAAAGGAAAAGCTGGCCACCTCCCACAACCCGATGGAGTCTGCACTTTATTCTTCTGCTCTTACCTAGTCTCTCCCTACATTTTTGTGCCTGTCTACATATTTAGGTACAGATCTTAGATTTTTAAAAGCCAATTTCAAAGACAAAAAAGGAAACAGCTGAGCTAATGCTGGATGCTAAGGAAACCCCATCAGAAGAGCCCTCTGCCCTCCTACTGGAGAGTGGGTCAGCACTGTAGGTCAAGCTTGTGTCTGCCCTCCTGCCCATGTCATCACCAGCTCCACAGGACTGGAGTGACACCGCACAGCAGCATGAGTGTGCTGGACATGACACTGAGCTGTCTGCTCGAAAACGGGGATGATGGCAAATTTCATGTCATACACACTTTATCACAGCTTGTGTGTGTGAGTGTGTGTGTGTGTGTGTGTGTGTTTCTGGGGATCAAACCCAGGGCCTCATGCATGCTGGCAAGCACTCCGGAACTGAGCTACATCTCCAGCCCTCCACAGTTTTTTTTAAGTGCAGGACCGTATGAAGTCCACCACTCTATGCAGTGGCTAGGCAAGCATCTGAAGCACATCCTGACCTGGGGACCTCCCTTCACTGCAACAAGAGAATGGGAAGAAGAGGGAGGGGGCAAAACCACTACCTTCAACAGCTGCGGTGTCCTGAGCAGCAAGGCGGCACCCAAAAACTGTGGTCAGCAGAGCCACAGACAAAAGGCCCTGCCCTGGCAACAGAGGCAAAAAGTCCACTGTCTGTGCCTACTCCTGTAAAACCTCTGGGAAGACAGGTCAGGCCAGCCACCAGGCCCTTTGGCAAGTACAGTGATTCCTGGGATGTTTCCAGGTGAGCCGAAACTGTCATGGCAAAGCAGGGCCAGAGGAGAATGTGGAGAAGAGGCAAAGGAGGCGAGCAAGGAGGAGGAATGGGGAAGCATCAGGCTCTTTATTTCTGCAGGCTGGTAGGTGATAACTACGCCCTGCAGATTAGTTAGCCATGGTCACAATAAAGGGCAGGCAGGGGCGCGTTCTCCAGGCGTAGTCTCAGCCCTTCCAGCAGCAGCTCCTTGGTGCCACATGCCTGACCTCACAGGGCAACAACTCCGCAAAAGCACAGAGATGCCACCTGGGATGACAGCAGAGCTGTCATACCCAACGAGGGCCCAGACACCATTACCACACTGTGACCCTGGTCTGCACAGAGGCAAGAAAGCCAATTCAATGCACAGGAAGCTGCCTGGGTGAAAGATGAGCTTCCTCCAGGACAACCAGACGGAAGAGCCACAGCAGCAGTGGGCAGAACCTTCTAGATACTGAAGGCCTAAGGAGGCCAGGCCATGGCTGGGTAGCCTTTTCTGGATGTCTTGTGAGTGAACAGGCTCCAGAGCAAAGCTCGGGCCGCAAGCCTGGATTAGCTGCCATGTTGCTCCATAACCTGCAAGAGGCCAAGACTGAAGGAAGCAAAGCTGCACAGGAGCTGAGTCTTCTCTCCACAAGCTGGAGGGGTTAAAACAGATCAGAACTCCGGGACATAATACTGAAGTAAAAGATTTCAGCTGAATGTAAAAGAGAACTTGCATGATGCCTGCTGAACACTGACCAAGTGCCACACACTACTGCTCCTTTGATCCATCTCATTTTCTCCCCAACATGGCTCTGTGAACAGGCCCTATGGCTGTCCCATTTTGGAGACACCACTTCCACATTGCACCACAGACTGGTAATAAAGCTTTTAACACGTGGGTCTTCAGGAGACACTCAGATCCAAACTGCAGTGCCCAGCTCACGGGACTGTCCAGCAGAACCCCAGAGCACAGCACACATCCAACAGTGGACCCCTTGCTGTCTAAGGGCTGACCCAGTTCCACCACTGGAGTCAAACTTTCAAAAACAACCAAGTCTCTGCACATCACTGCTCACAGCAGCATTTTTTTAAGTTACTAAATCTTAGCTACAAGCACATTAGCTAACATCAAACTATAAACCAATGGAAAGAGAGTCACATATAGTCTGTCCTGTTCCCTAGGGCACCACATTAGCTCTAAGCAAACACTCAAGGCCTTATAGTACATGTGTCTGCTCTTTTTTCTCTTTTGCTGAAAATACCTAGACACAAAAACACTATTGGATTTTGCCAATAACATTCTAATGTAAAACTATACACAAACACAAATTGAAATTTTGAATTCCATTTTCTAGCAACTGTTTTTCAAACTTCTTTCCAATTAGACAATTGTTCTAATTCTAAGTTGAATTCACAAACAATTTTCAAGTGCGTTTTTCTTCTCTTGCAGTAATGGGGATCCAGCCCAGGGCCTTGTGCACGCCAGGCAAGTACTCCACCCTGAGCTGCACCCCAGTCCTTACCTTTGCTTCATGTTTCTATCATTGGTACAAAATGGGTTTCACTACGACACTCACACGAGCATGGCAGTTTGCTCATGTTCAGCCCCATCGCACTCTTTTGTTCCCCTCCCCCACCCACGGGTCTGGTTTTATGTCTTCATTTTTAAATCTAGACTCTGCACGTGACAGAAAACATGTGATGTGTCTTTCTGAGTCTGGCTTATTTTCCTTAACATGGTGATCTCCAGCTCCATCCATTTTCCTCACAGCAGCATTGTTCCCCGAAGCCAAAGATGGAAGCAACCCAAATGTGCATCAGCAGGTGAATGGATGAACAAAATGTGGTCTATCCATCCGATGGGATATTATTCAGCCTTAAAAAGGAAACTGTGACACCTGCTGCCACATGGATAAACCCTGAAGACATTCTGCTGAGATAAGCCAGTTACAAAAGACAAACACTGTAGGATTCCACTTATCTGAGAGGACTACATTAGTCACTCATGGGGACAGCGGAATGGGAGTGCCAGAGGCTGGAGGAGCAGGGATACTCTGGGAGCTGGGGTCCAGTGGAGCAGTTTCAGCCGGAGGAGATAAATGGATTCTGGAGACAGATGGTGGCAATGGCTGCCCAGCAATGTGATGTGCTTACTGCCCTGAATGCTACTTAAAAATGGCTAACATGGCAGACCACACATTCTGTCACCACTGTACATTACATGTATTTTAGCATGAGAAAAAACTGGTCACAATGAAGTCACTGATACCATGGCACAGTGGGTGAGATCCAATGATGGAGGTTTTCCAGGCCATGGTCAGAGATGTGAGCTGTGTTTCGCAGAAAACACAATGAAGCTGCATGAGGCTATGACATGCCCTTCAGGAAGGGATCTGGCAACAGATGCCACTGCTACCTCTACCACCACCAGGCCATGAGTTGCAGAGAAGCCCACGGCCAACTTGGTCACCCTCATTCGCTCTGGAGGGCCCAAGTTCTCTGAGGTTTGACCCTAAACTAACAAACTCACAGTGGAGAGAAACTTACCTGTTTCCCCATGAGCTGAAAGGAGGCCAGGGATGTGCTGCAGACCAGACACCAGGAGGTTCTCAGGGAGAAGGTGGAAGGCAGGTTCCAAGGCTGGGTGTGGTTTCAAGGTGTACTGCAGGCTGCAGCTCTCCACCAGGGTCAGGTGCTTGCTTTCTGGGGAAGAACATCATTTGACAGCTGAAACCAAGGGCAGTCCCAGTCAAATCAGCCAAGAAATAAAAATTGAGAAGAAATACCGTAAATAGAAAACTTATTTTCCTCAGGAAAGTGGGACACTACTCTGTGAGTCCAGCCTAAAAGTAAAAAGAGTCAGTCCTTAATAATCTCTGCTAAAACTGCAATGACAAGTTTTTTTGTTTTGTTTTTTGGCAGTGCTGGGGTTTGAACTCAGGGCTTTGCACTTGCAAGGCAGGCATTCTACTACTTGAGCCACACCGCCAGCCCCAACAACAACTTTTGTTTGTTTGGTCTTGCAGTGTTGCCCAGGCTAGCTCCCAAGTCTGAGGCTCAAGCAATCCTCCAACCTCAGTCTTCCAAGCAGCTGAGACTACAGGTGTGTACCACCATGCCTGATCCTATAATTTTTAATCCAACATATCCTCTCTCCCACCACAGGAGGGATGCAGAGCTGTGCAGTGTCCTTGGCATCATTGGCAACCTGCCCTCAGAGGGAAGCCAGGAGATGCTCTGCTGCAGGCTGCCTTCCTAAGTCTTGGCCATGCATCCATCAGACCCTGGAAGGAGCAGGATGGCACTGGGGTGGCAAAAGCATTGAAGACAGAGCAACGTCCACTAGGAAGGCCATTTTTCTATACTCATGATCAAGACACAGACATATGGTTTTCCATGATGCATACAATGAGACTACAAGAACAGTCTGGAGGAACAGGGGAGGGAAAGAGGAGATGAAGCCCCTCCCCTTCAGCAGCCTGGAGAAGCGTTAGGCACCACAGGGCAAGAGTGGGCACTAGAAGTGGAGAGACAGCAGCAATGGGAATGAGGTACAGAGAGGCAATCCCAGAACCACAGGGCCCATGGGGAAAGGGAACCAAACAAGCCTTCTCCATGTGCCTGCCAAATGGTCAGTCAAGCTCAGGCTTAACTTCCTCCACTAACAGGGACATCACCATCTCCAGAGGCACACAGGCCAACTTGAGCCAGTTCTACCATTAAAGTCCTGGCTGTGGCCATGATGAAGAGCTAAGAGTTACAAGTTCACCTCATTCATTTCCTGATTTCCTAAGAGCTAGACATGAGCTACTGTTAGAAAAAGAAATGAATGAAAACTCTATTTTTAATACCTATCAACTCCAAACAAGAGTTCTGCTTACTTTAAAATACCACTTAAAGGCATTTCACCTCCATGGCTAGTCAGAGAAAATTGGTACACTCTCTGTGGACAGCAAAGAAGAAAGATGTGGAAGGTACCACAATGACCACTACCTTCCAGGAATGTCAACTAAGCAGTTGGGCTGGTGGTGAGGCTGGTTCCACCTCACATCCTCCATTCACACTCACCGATTCCACATGACCAAGAACTGAGGACAGGAAGCCACCTGGAGACTATGCCCCTCCTTTAAGAGGCCCTGATTCTAAAGATGCTTCAGGAGAGAAAATCTTGGCAAATAATAATTAAATTCAATTGAAAAATAACCTAAAAGCTCATCTTTACAAATAAAATTAAGTTTCTGACTACTTCCCTCCCCTGAGATTTTCACCAAATTTAGGGGGCAGGGGTTAGGCTGTGACATTTTAACACAGGCAGACAGAAACAAACACATTTCCTTCAAGAAAGGAAATCTCCAAGGACAGAGGGTTGTCCCCTAAACAGACCTGCCTCCCACTACCCTCCCCGTCCACGCCCTCAGGGACAAGCTCAGCATCTGCACCAGGCCTCTAGATGTCCTTCCAGCTCAACCCACCACCCCACAAGCCTCTCCTGCCATCCTCCAACTGACAGCAGAGGGGGCCGCACTGCCTCCAGCTGCTCAGGAGACACCCAGCACAGAGGCACAACAGGATCCCTCTGCCCGGGGGTAGGCCACCCTAATGCTAAGTCTCAGAGTTTCTGCACAATGCTCATCAGCTGGATACAGCTGGGAAGGCTTCTCTGGGCTGGCAGTAACTAGGGACTTCACAGTCAGCTGGTAGCCAGTGACAGACAGTGACTGCTTCACTGGGGAGGGGGATGCCCACCCCTCTCACACTCCCCTCATGAAGCAGTGCCCCCCTTTGGGGCTGGTGCATTTCAGTTCCTTAAATGATACACAAGTCTAATCCCATGACACGTCTGTCTGTAACTATTACAAAATGGAGCTAAACTGGTGGTGGTTTACATAAAGATGACAGGACAAGGCCAAAGTGGAGAACGCTCTGGAGAGTCACAGGCTCAAGCAGCACCGCCAAGGCCAGGCTTCCTTACGTTCTACAGGATCCTGGAGAAGTGGGTGCAGGAGGGCTCTGGGGGTGCCATGATACAGCCTCAACCTGGAAAACAGGACCAGGGAACCATGTCAACTACCCACATCTCACATTAAGTCACCAGAGGTCAGCTACACCTCTCAAGAAAGGATGTGGGGACCCCACTTCCACTGCACCTCCCAGAGCCTTCTAAATGCTGCCAGTCACATCCTCTGCAGAAAACCAGCAGCTGAAGGTGGCATCAGCCCCTCACCCAGTGGTCCTCACGGTGCCAAGTGTGTCTGGTGCACCTGAAGCCCAACGACCCAAGAGCTAAAACACAACACCAAGGAAAAGAACCAAACCCTGAAATATCCCTGGAAAGAAATGTCTAGAACATGTATGGCAGTGTAGCTGGAGCCATGTTTGTACCCAGAGGTGACGTTGCCCACTGCACAGCTGGCGAGGTCTGGGAGGTTTCTGGCTGACACAGTTGGGCAGGGCCTACTCCTGACATCTGGTGGATGGAAGCCAGAGAATGCTGCCAAGCACCCAACAATGCCCAGGGTGCCCCATGGCAGAGACTGGCTGTCCCTGATGACAGTGGTGCCAAGGTCTACAACTTGATCTAGAGGAGTACCACAGCTTCAACCCTGGCCAAAAGGACTCACAATCTTATCCGTCTCTGCACATGCAGATCGTAACACAGCCTGACACACAGTAGGTACTGAACCAGCCCAGCGCCTGCTAAATGAATACCTATGCTCCCCGGATGCCTGTGTGAAAACCACACCATTATTACTCAGGCAGTCCTGTTTGTTTGCTTGTTTATCTTCAGGCAGCCCTTCTGAGATGCACACTGTCACCTCTCAGAGACAGATGCATGGGTACAGGATCATAGTTGAGCAAGCTGCTGAAATCCCACAGGGAGTAAGTAATGGCCCACATGCATCCTGCATCAAATCAATGCCCGTGACCAAGGACTGTCCTCACGCCAGCCTGAAGAACAATTTGGTTTACTTAGAAGTGGGTGGAACAAAAGCAAAAAATATCCCACAGCATGCTGTTATGAACACACAACAGCTGTAACAACCACCTTAAAAGCGTTCTCTTGTTACCAGGAGACAAGTAGTTAAGTCACGATAGAAGGCGGCTGGAAGAGCCCAGGTGTGGAAAACAAGGTAGGTACCGTTTGTCCTGGGAAGCAGAGGTAGGTGATTCTGGCTTGTTGCCGAAGATCCGAAGAATTCCAAACCCACAGGACAATGTCTGGAGGGTCCCATCCCGCTTCCTGCCTTCAGCAACCACTTCTACCACAGTCACGATATTCGGGTGGTTTAAGGACGTATGAAAGTAAAAGGGCTGTAAAACAGAGAACAGAGGATGGCTGAGCAGAGCTGGGTGATGGACTGAACACTCACACCACAGGGAGGGGCAGCAAAAGGATGCAGGCAGGCGTTCTCCTGCCCCGTGACCCTGTCATTGTCCCCTACAAGGATCAGAACTCTGCCCAGTCCCCTCATGTGGACCTCTGCACCCTGTCCAGGTACATGGGGAAGAGCACAGCACTGTGAATGTCTGTGACCTCAGAGTCAAAGAGCTTCTCACTCCAGATGCCAACATCCAGGACACCAGACAACCAACCTCTGCCTCTGCTCCAGGAGCTTCGGCCCCAGGAATTGTACCTCCACAAGTACCAACAGACTCCAGACCCCCTAGGGAAGAACTGCTAGCCAAACTGTGCACCACCCCCAGGGGTGAGTGACACCAGGCAGGACCACAGTCACAGCAGCCCAAGACAGACACATCCACTGCAAGCATATGCACCCACTGGCCAAGTTACACCCAAGCCTCAGCTGACACTCCATGTGGAAAACCTCATTCATACTTGCTATATTGACTCTAGCCCTGTTTAGGTTTGAGCTTTATGAAGTTCATCTGAACTGTCTAAACTAGGAAGGATCCAAGATTTCTTTAGTTGCTAAAGGAAACTATCCCTAATCTGAGCCCAATATCTTTTATGATGAAACTCAACTTCAGATCTTTTTATGAAAAGATTTTGGGGGAACTAGAGCCAAGTAGATGATACTCAAACTGACCTTTAAAGGCTTTCCATTTGCAACCTTTCCATCCCCAACATGTGAATGGAAGATCCTGACTCCTGCTGTCCCCAGGGAGTGAGGAGCTAGGAGACGGAACAGGTGAGGCAACAGTTCTGTGTGCAGCATGCACACTCCCTGCACACTGATCCTGCTTTCCTGCTTCATTCAATTTGCTGCACTTGGTTTTAGTTAAAATTGACCAAGTCACAGGCACAGAAGACAGAGGCAGAGCTGAGGGTTCAAGTTTGCCAGCCCAAGGGGCCTCAGCATACACAGCATCATATGTGGTGCTGAGCTGGTTTCCAGACTGAACTGGGCACAGTGCAAAGCCACCAGCTGAGCACAAAGACCACCCCAGCAGAGAGGTGGGGCAGGGCAGAGGCTGGTCTGCTGCACTGTGACTTAAACTCAGACTAATCCTCCTATTAATGAGTCATTACCGTAGTGTCACAGAGAAAAGCGTTTATTGTAATCACAGACTGTCAGCCCAGGATAACAGAGGGACACATTAAAACATCAGCCACAAGATATAAATCGTTATTCTATTATCTTTTATTGCAAAATGATGAAATAATGACCACTTACAGCTGACAGGTGGTTGGACTGAGAGAGAGTTATGTTTCCAAGACTCAGGAGCTGTTTAAAAAGCCCTGCTGGGCAATCAAGTCTGTCACTATCACAACTTTATATTTATACCTGAGCCTATCAGGTTTATGAACACTGTCCACTGTTTTGTGACAGTAAAACAAACATTTTAAACTCTGATATGAAACAGCAATCATCTCCCAGCTTAGCAGTCACCTTGAAACTGCTCTTCCTAAAGGCAGTGGGACCAGCTGCTCAGGGCACATCCAAATTACAAATTTATGACTGCCTCCTCTCCTTTCATTTACCATGAAAAACAATTAATCTTGAAACCAAAAGAAACCACCAAAACAGAACCCCCTCATCGTGTCTCAACCAGCCAAGCTTGGAGCCAAAGGCGGCATGTTTCATTAGCTGCCAGCCTCCAAGACAAGCACAGCATACTAAAGGCAACGAGGTTCCAACAGTCACATCAGTTTTGCTACTGGCTGATACGGACGTATGTATGCTCTTTTCCAAAAATCATTTTGGTATGGGAACAGCACCATGGTAAAGAATTTATGAGGAACCTGGAAAACACAATTCTGCCTTGAAGCCGTGCTAGGCTCAAAGGCTTTACAAAAGGTAGACAGACAGCTACAAAATGCACACGGTGCTGGGGCAGGAACAGCCTTGAGACACTGTACAAGCAGAAACCGTCGGGGATGGAAATGCAAATGCTGCGCTCAGCTTTCCTCCTTCCTCCACTCCTCCCAGCAAAGTCATGGTCTGCTGGATCACCTGTGCCTAGGAGCATGCAAATGGACTCACAGACACATGCCGCTGAGTGACACCTTTAACCATCTAGGGAAATTTAATTAACACCAATGCCATACATTTTGAGAGGAAAATTCTATCCCTCACCTGAAATTACACAATTAGAAGTTTAAGTCAAGCCATCAAATCGCCTGCCAGAGAAGATGATGCCTGCCAAAGAAGACAACTAGAGAGAGATCGCTCTCACCCGCCCCTGCATCACACCTCACTCATCTGCACTGGGGGAGTTCTTCCCTGACAGAACAGACAGATTAATAATTCATTTAAATGCTCCTGGCCTAATGCCTTCATCTTCAAAACACAGACACCATTTGCCTCGGGGTCTTGTTTCAATTTCTCACCCGCAATGACAGGATTAAAATTGGGCTCTGCTAATGTGTCTGTAGGAAGAGGCTGCACCTGGTGTCCCAAGCTGATAGCCAATTGACCTGTCACCTGCTGACCAGTGCCCACAAGGCCAGGGGAGAGCTAAGCAGATTAAACCAGCACCTTCCAAAGAGCTCATTTAAAAATAAAGCTTTAAGAGGTGCAAGCGAAGGGAATGTGTAATATATTCAACAAAATAATAACAGAAAATTTCCCAAATCTAGAGAAAGATATTCCCATACAGATGCAAGAGGCCTCCAGGACACCAAACAGACCAGATCAAAATAGAACTACCCCATGACATATCATCATTAAAACAACAAGTTCAGAAACTAGGGAAAGAATATTGAAGGCTGTAAGAGAGAAAAAACAAGTAACATAAAAAGGTAAACCCATCAAAATCACAGCAGACTTCTCAACAGAAACATTAAAAGCAAGAAGCGCATGGGGTGAGATCTTCCGGCACTGAATGAAAATAACTTCAACCCCAGGATACTCTACCCAGCACAGCTATCATTCAAAATAGATGGAGCAATAAAAGTCTTCCATGATAAGCAGAAACTAAAACAATATGTGACCACAAAGCCACCATTACAAAAGATTCTGCAAGGGATCCTGCACACAGAAAGTGACACCCAACTTAACCATGAAAAGACAGGCAGCACCAAACCACAGGATAAGAAAAAGCAAGACAATAGAGAGTAACATCAAGTTAGGTACACACAATCAAACCTTCAAACAACGAAGACAACTAAATGTCAGGAATTACCACATGCCTATCAGTACTAACGCTTAATGTTAATGGACTTAATTCACCCATCAAAAGACACCGTTTGACAAAATGGATTAAAAAAGAAGATCCAACAATTTGTTGCTTACAGGAGACTCATCTCACCAACAGAAATAAGCATATGCTTAGGATGAAAGGCTGGAAGAAGATTTACCAAGCCAATGGCCTCCAAAAAAGAGCAGGAGTAGCAATACTTATCTCTGACAAAGTAGACTTCAAACCTACATTGATCAAACGAGATAAAGAAGGACATTCCATACTAATAAAAGGGGAAACAGACCAAAAGGAAATAATAATCATCAACCTATATGCACCCAATGTCAACGCACCCAATTTCATCAAACATACCCTGAAAGACCTAAAAGCATATATAAACGCCAACACAGTGGTTGTGGGAGACTTTAACACCCATTATCATCAATAGATAGGTCATCCAAACAAAAATCAATAAAGAAATCCAAGATCTAAAATATGCAATAGATCAAGTGGACCTAGTAGATGTCTACAGAACATTTCATCCAACCTCTACACAATATACATTCTTCTCAGCAGCCCATGGAACCTTCTCCAAAATAGATCATATCCTAGGGCACAAAGCAAGCCTCAGCAAATATAAGAAAATAGAAATAATACCGTGCATACTATCTGACCACAATGCAGTAAAAGTAGAACTCAACAACAAAAGTAAAGACAAAAAACATGCAAACAGCTGGAAACTAAATAACTCATTACTTAATGAAGAATGGATCAATGATGAAATAAAAGAGGAAATTAAAAAGTTCCTGGAAGTCAATGAAAATGAAAACACAACCTACCGGAACCTATGGGACACAGCTAAGGCAGTCTTGAGAGGAAAGTTTATAGCCATGAGTGCATATATTAAAAAGATTGAAAGATCCCAAATCAATGACCTAATGATACATCTCAAACTCCTAGAAAAACAAGAACAAGCAAATCCCAAAACAAATAGAAGGAGAAATAATAAAAATAAGAGCTGAAATCAACGAAATAGAAACCAAAAAAACCATACAAAGAATTAATGAAACAAAAAGTTGGTTCTTTGAAAAAATAAACAAGATCGATAGACCCCTGGCAAACCTGACTAAAATGAGGAGAGAAAAAACCCAAATTAGTAGAATCAGGAATGCAAAAGGGGAGATAACAACAAACACCATGGAAGTCCAGGAAATCATCAGAGACTACTTGAGAACCTATATTCAAATAAATTTGAAAATCTTAAAGAAATGGACAGATTTCTAGATACATATGATCATCCAAAACTGAACCAAGAGGAAATTAATCACCTGAATAGACCTATAACACAAAATGAAATTGAAGCAGCAATCAAGAGTCTCCCCAAAAAGAAAAGTCCAGGACCTGATGGATTCTCTGCTGAATTCTATCAGACCTTTAAAGAAGAACTGATACCAACCCTCCTTAAACTGTTCCATGAAATAGAAAGGGAAGGAAAACTGCCAAACACATTTTATGAAGCCAGTATTACACTTATCCCAAAACCAGGCAAAGACACCTCCAAAAAGGAGAACTATAGGCCAATCTCCTTAATGAACATTGATGCAAAAATCCTCAACAAAATAATGGCAAACGAATTCAACAACACATCAAAAAGATTCATTCACCACGACCAAGTAGGCTTCATCCCAGGGATGCAGGGGTGGTTCAACATACGAAAATCAATAAAC